GGAAATGATGCTGTGTAGTTTGGGAGCAGTTGTGTGTGCAGGGTTGAGACGTGAGGATGTGTGTATCTGTGTAAGATGGTACACACGGGAAGTTTGGGAACAAACCTATGTGCTACATCTCCAGCCTATGCACACACTGCCAGGCTGTCAGCCCTTTCTACGTGAGGATGGTGTGCACATGTGTCCAGACTTTGCACTGTGCTGGGCTCTTGGCCCCCTCTACATATGCAGCTGGATGCAAGACTGTCAGTCCCTTTTCTGTGCTAGAGCCATGGGGGGTAGTGGCATTGCAGAGGCAGCTGCAATGGCGCTGAGCACCTGGGCTGCACCTTGCCTGTCAGGTCCAGAGCCCATTGTCAAATGGAAATTGGCTGAGGGATGCTCCATGTCTCCCCTGCCTGCTGTGGGGGGATGCAAACCCCTCCTCACCTCTTCATGGCATCCCCCATTTTGCTGACCCTTGCCCCAGTCTGTGGGTAAATGAGGCTCTCACATGGCTCCATGCAGAAGGTGTAGGTGTCAGAGCCACGAGGGGAAGGCACCGATCACTGCCTTTGCACCAGGGCTCCTTGCAAAGAAACCTGGTGCTCAGCCTTGCCATACTTGCTCACATCACAAGGCCTGATACTGGAGATCAGCCACATACCCAGCAGATCAGACCTTCCTTCCCATGGGCTGTTTTTTAGCCTTGCCAACATATGGCTGGAGTTGGAGCATTGGCCAGGCAGGACATCGGAGCCACAGGCTGCTCCTTCCTTCCTCCCTTCTGCCCCCAGGATGTGTACTGACTTGTGTGGGAGTGCACGGTCTGAGCTGTCAATCAGACTTTATGGCACATTCCCAGGTAATCACCTGGCTGGAGGGGGGGGAACATTTATCTTGGAAGGTCCAGAGAGCAAGGTGCAAAGCATCATGTGAGCTCCAGGCTGGGGAAGCAGAGAGGTCGTTGGGGCACACTCTAGGGACTCATTTCTCTTTTCTGTCAGATGAGGGAGGTGAGTCTGAGAACTTCAGGCTGAGCTCTGGACAGAGGCTCAAACCCAGCCTTGAGCTGCCTTCTCCCCTCTTAGCCCTGATCAAGCCTGCACAGTGGCCCTACCATCTGGGCAAAGCTGAATGCTAGAGACACAGTCCTGGAGACATGCACAGGGGGACATGGGACTAGAGCTCTCACCCATCAGCCCAACAAGCACACACCTGTCTCTCCAGATAAAGAATAGCTCCTCTACTCAATGTAGGCACCAGCAGGCTACAAAAGCAGATGCATGAAAGGATTTTCAGGAGGCCAAGCAGAATAGGATCTGCCTCCTGAAGTAGTTTCCCTGCAGTGTGCTGGCAGTGGGCTCCAATAACATTATTATTGCTTATTTAACATGAATATCAGCGTCACGACCGAAAGCCACCCCTGCCTGGGGTCCTGTGTGTGGGGCACAGTGCAGACAGCCTGGAGACAAACTCATTTGTCAGACCAATATAAGTCACAGAGTGAGAGGACTCCATGCTGGTAAACAGGGGAAGTAAAGTAAGGCATGAACACAAAGGGATGCGTGCACTTCTTAGCTGGTCAACGGTAGGGTCACACTGTGGATGCAAAGTGTTGTAAGTACAGAGGCAGCGTCAATGGATGACGTAGGATGAATGATGGCAAGTGCTTCAGGAGTGGGTGACTTCAAGGGCTGGATGATGTGAGCTTCCAGCAGCACCGTGGGTGGTACTGAAGGCTGAGTGGAGGAAATGACAGGGGTCATGGTCTGAGGAGATCCTCTCAGCTATGCGACAGAGCAGGGAGGCTGGGTGCCATAGGCGGTGGAAGGGGGTGGCTAACGGGGCTTAGCCCCCCCCAAACATGGGGCAGCTGTAGGGCCACAAGTCAGCCCCGCCGCGGGCTTCTGGCCGCTGCAGCAGGGGTGGGGAGGGGTGCGCATGCAGCGGTGCGGGAGGGAGTGGGGCTGGGGCAAGCACTGCACAGCCGGGGCAGGACGCGGGACTGAGCCACGAGCAACTTGTCTGGGGGGCATGGCTCCTGCAGCTGCACGCAACCCGGGAGGCTCGGGGGCCATGTGCATTTTCCTGGCTTACATTGCCACCTTCACACTACTGTCCCCAGCTCCCTGCAACCAGACACATCAAACACAGTGTACCTGTTTTTGCCTTCAGGCTTTTTGTGGTTCCCCGCAAGTTGATCCACTCTAGGAGTTTATGAATCTACTGGCTGTCCAGTGCTCTGCCAGTGAGGACAGCCATGCGACCTGAGCCATCGTCTGTGCTCCACACAGTCCCTTCATGTACAGCCAAGCCTCCACTGTGACATCCAGCCAGCCAGGCCTGTGCTGCCCATAGCCCATGCGGAGCTGAGAGTGGGAAGGGCTGCCTTCTGAGGGCAGGGAGCAGCTGCCTCTGCCAGGGGCATTTTGGGACTTCTTTAGAGTTTACCATGGTTGATGATCCCCCAGCATGCCCCCCATGCCATCAGCCCAGCTTGCCCTACCTGACACCAGCAGTGGCTATCTGCTGTGTCACAGAGCCCAGCGTTATGGGGTGCTGATTCCTGGCTGGGTCCTAGGTGCTCCCACAGCCCACCAGCAAATGGCAATAGCACAGGCAGGCCAGGGGTGCCCACACTCCTCTCTGCAGCTCTTCAGGGACCCAGGAGGGTAATCAGCATTGCACAACAGGCTCCTCTGTGTTCTTAGGAAGCTTTGGCTTAAAACCCCAAAGCCCAGATCCACCCGGCCTCCTACTCACACCACCAGAAATAGAAATTCCCCAGGGAAGGCAGGAGGCCAAATGTACCACAGATGCCTGGGAAAGGTATGTGACGCACAGAGAACAGGCTTGAATTCATCACTCCCTGAGCAGATGGCAACAAAGCAAAAGGGATCCTGAATGCGGGTGAGCTGTCATTTTTGGGTTAACACAGGTAGTATTCAAGGAGTATATTTAGCTCCTTGCTATACATTGCTGGTGCCTGCTAAATCTAGGCCAGGTGGTTATGCATTAACTTGTAGCTTGGCAGGTGAAACAGGCTCCTGTGTGCTACAATAGACAAGCTCCCCCATTACTCAGATGCAGCCATCTCTGGGCTGGAACACAACAGTGCAGCAGGATTTCTGGCTGTAGCTGTTTCTTCTCCATGAAGGCTTTCACCTGGTGCCTTCTCCACCCTGCCCATGTCACAGATTATTGGGTAGTGGCAATGATGTTCACAAACAAGGATGAGCATCCTTGTGGCAGGGGCTTGGCTGCTCACTTCAGGGCATTGAAAGGGTTAATGGGTTTCGGCAGAATTGCACATTTTCTTTAGCCAGCGCTTGGGAGCAACATGCATTGGCACAGCCTGTCTTCGGCATCCAGGCCCTGCCTGCTCTTTACTGGGGCAGGCGCAGTGCCCAGGAGAGCTGGGACAGGGGCTTCATTTCCTGTCTCCTCATTTCCCTGCTGCGATAGAGCGGAGGAAAACGCAGGGGCCTGGGAGCAGGTGCCTGCACCGCCTGCTGCCTCCAATCTGCTGCCTTGGCCCTGCACAGCATGTTTCTCTGAGTGACTCATTACTCAGCCTGGGGTGGAGGCACGTATTTCACAACCCGGCTCCCAGTGACGTGCTGCCAACATCTCTGAGCCCCCCGCCTCTCCCAGACTCGTGGGGGGGGGCACTGTGCACCACATGGCAGATGCTGGCCCTGGGCCCGTTCCCAGCTGCACTCTGTGAATCCGGACACACGTCACTTGGAGTCCGTGGCATCACTGTCTCTGCCGGTGCCTCTAGGAGCACGGCATGGGAGCAGAGCAATTAAGGCATTTCACTCTGGTTCCAGAGGTGTGAATATGAGCCTTCCTCTGCTCCTCTGCCCGAGGCCCCAGATGGCTGCAAATAGACTCCTGCCCATTTGGGCTGGGAATCCAAGGTGGCCAGATGTGATGCCGGCCACACCGTGGCTGTGTGCTGCTGGCCAGGGAACTGGGCTGTCCTGTCCACGTGAAGCCTGGCTGGGCTTCTGGCCATTTCTTTCCAGGCAGGGGCAGACCCCAGCCTACTGTGCACCGTGTCTGGCCACCAGTCCTTGTTTGCATGCTGAGCTGCTCCTATTGCCCCTCTTGTGCTCATATAAAAGTGCCGTGGGGCTCTCTCCACACAAGAACATACCATATGCTGCTGTACCTCCCCCCCCCGCAGGTATAAATTACCTTCCCCCCAGTCCCTGGAGGGATTTACTTGCTGTTTCTGCTTGCTGTGTTTTTCCCCTCCTCATGGAGGAAGCCACTGGGGACTGAGAGGGCATTTGGAAAAAAATAATTGTCCTACCTCATATCCTGCCTTTATCTAATGGACTGGTCTCAGAGTCAGGAAGGAGATATGTCTCTTGACAGGATATCCAGAGAGAAAGCTGAGACAGAAAAGCAAAATGACAAAGACCCCCCGGGCCTGGTTTTTGGAGGGCTGCAAACATACTTCTCTGTTTAAATCAAAGCTGCGAGAGGCAAGGAGTTTTGTGGGTGATTTCTTTTTACTGGACCAACTGCACGGCTGGGAGAGACAGAAAGCTGGTAGTCTCTCCTGAATGTTCACGTGACTCCAAGAGGTGGAGATTTAAGCAGGGGAAAAAGCGCTGGTTATTGTGAGGCTCTTCTCCCGCCCCCAACCTGGGCTCTGGGGAGGATTTGAGGTCATTTCCAAGCACTGGGCCACAGCCCCTGGTTTCTGCTCTCAAATCCAGAGAGCTGCTCCAACAGGATCTGCCCCAGCCCTGGAGTCACTGGGGAGGAATGTGCTGGTGTACCATAGCTTCTCCCCAGCTTGTTCCTGGGCTGGCGCAGCCCTTTAAGGAGACAGTATTTGAGCATGACACCTTCCCAAGGAACTTGATTAAGCTGGTCCCAGCAAGTCAGCTCCCAGAGCTGGATGTGGGGCATCCCCGCCCTTCCTCTCCAGTTGGGAGGAGTAGCAGGCTGGGCTATGTGGGCTGAGGGGCAGGGACTAGAGGAGCATCAGAGCCCGGCAGAGGAGTGAGAAGACAAGCAGGGAGATGGAGCTGTTCAGAGCCCGAAGGAGCGAGCTGGAGCCCGGGGCAGCTGGGATGACTAAGCTGGGAGTCAGGGCAGGACCTGGGATCTCTGCTTTCCCAGTGATGAGGTACAGGGCATGGATCAGCTCCACTGGGTTCTGCTGGAGTGGGGGAGGAGGGTGCTTTGGCCCAGGGGCAGGGCCTGGGGGATGGGAGGGCATGGGGGAAGGCATAGCTCTGCACTGTACACCCCCTGGAGAGGCCCAGATCTAGATCCAAACTCTGCAGCCCGGGCTCAGCCATCAGCACTGCTCCTGCTCCCCTTTCTGTTTCCCCGCCACTGGCAGCAGATAGTAGAAACTTGAAAACCCTTTGCACAGACCACATTTCCCGGCACTGCTGAGGCTTTCTGAGCAGTGGGGAGGCTGAGGGGGGCTTGCTCAATCCTATGTGGCAGACTTGCATCATGGCAAGCCAGCATCACAGTTGGGAGGAGAAGGCAGGAGCCCTGACACACACCCTGGCATAGCTACAAGACCACATGCCCTCCCCAAGCAGGGCACAGAGCCCAGGAGTCCTGTGCCACCGTCCCCACAGCATCAGGCAGTGGTTTGCCAAAGAAGCCTGAGATCTCCCACAGGGCTATAAATACCCAGACGCAGCCTGTGACCGGTGGCAGGGAGAATTCAGCCTCCAGTGGAAGGATCCAGCGGGCTGGGGAGGGTGTTCTTGTAGTACTGGAGGAAGCAGAAGACTCCCCCCGTGCCACAGCTGGACGGCGCCGCTGGGCAGGGAGAGCTGTGGGTGCTGAGCGGGTGCTGGTGGAGTCTGTCCCACAGGCCACGTGGAGGAAGTGAAGTTTTCCCTGCAGGATGTGAGTAAGGTGGGAAGCTGCTGGCACTCCAGTTTTCCCCACAGGGCTGTCGGATAGGAGGAGCACTGAGATAATGAGGTAGAAATTGCTGCCCCTCTGTGAACCTCCCACCCGGCTCCCAGCAAAGCTTTCTGCTCTATCCAAGGTATTTACTGGGTGCCCATCACTACAGTCTGGGCTCCTTGCAGGCCTGGTGTATTTAGCCCTTGGCTTAGGCACAGGGCCAGGATGACTTGCCCAGGGTGCACAGGAAGCCTGTGGCAGAGCAGGAGTGTGACCCCAGGTGTCCCATGTCCTGGGGGCATCTAGCCTTGGGCTCTCCCTTCCCTCCTCCCTGAGATGCTGCAGTTGGAGCTGAGTGTGGCTTCTCACTAGTCCCATCAGGTCTCCTGCAACTGTGTACTGAAAATCCCAGTCCCGCCTGCCCTGGGAGGTGCCCAGGGCTCCAGGCAGCAGTGAAACTCGAAACTCGGGAGGGATTAGTGGGGTCATCAGTCAGCTCAACCTCTGGCAGCTCCTGGTGGGTCCGGTCCTATGCAAAGGGCAGGGCTTAATGTGACCTGGGATCCTGGTGTGAATGGGAGGTGGGTCAAGAGGATGTGGACTCTCAGCGGGGTGTGCGAGTGGTGGGGGGGAGGCAGAGCTGGAAGCCAGGAGTTGTGGTCTCCAGTGCCCATCTGCAGCACACGATGCCAGCTACTGTTTGCAGACTTCATAGAAAGAGACAGGCTGAGGGGCCAAGCCCCGGTGTCCAGGTGCAGGCAGACTTCCCTTCAGCCTGCAGGGGAGATGGAGGAGCTTCGCAGCCCAGAATCCCACTTGCAACCGTGGCAGCACCAACTGCTTCAGCCAAAGGGCTGAGATATCTGCTCCCCGCAAGACAGCCCCGATGAGAGGCTGGCCCATGCCCTGACTCAGGAGGGTCTGCTCCCTTCTCTGTGCTGAGCAATTTAGTATCTGAAACTCTGATCCCTTGCCCAGTGCTGCCCCTTTGCACTTTGCCTGGCTCGTGATTCTGCCTGGGGTCTGTTGTCCTCTTGCACACAGGGGATTATATAAGATGAAACCGATTGTCTAGGAGCAGGTTTATCATGACTTGCAGATAATAATTACAGCTCAGCCCAGGTAACTCCTTCTAATGACAGGGAGGTTTGATTGAGAGTGCCTAAAAGTGTTGTGGGGTAGCACATGGGAGAACAGACCTAGTGCAATGCTCTGAAAAGTCGGGAGGGCAGGAAGCACAAGCAGTCTCGTTGCATCACCCCTGCTGATGCCCGCTGATGTCATCGTGTGTGAGGATGTGGCATGGGCCGGTGCAAGGGGGCAGGAGGGCGACTTGGGACACCTGGGTTCTGTTTCTATCCCTGTCCCCAACCTAGTGCATCACCATGGGCCTGTCACAGCACTCCTCAGTGTCTCAGCTGATCTGTTTGCATTGTGGGGAGACTGAGAGGGCACCTGCTAGATGCAGCCTCAACTAGGCACTTAGGTGACCTGGGTGACTGTGGGTGATTCCCCCTTCCTATGCCTCAGTTTCCCCTTAGGTAAAATACAGGTAATGCTGCTGCCTTGATGCTGGGGTGAGTGAGAAGCGCTAGTGAGCTCTCCCAGCAGCGTGCTGCTGTGGAGAAGCAGGAGACAGAGGAACACCTACAGCCAGTGGGACAGTTGTGCCATGTCACAGCAGCACAGGGATCGGGGCAGGGGCATGGCCTGGGATGGAGGATCCTGCTGGCCCCTTGCTCTGCTGTAGTGAGGCTCCCCCAAGCTCCTCGGGTGCTTCTTGGCACATGGCTCCGGCTTCTCAGCCTGACTCCACGCCCCACAGGGCCATTCTGATCCCTTCAGGCCCCCCGGGAGCAAAGGGGCTCAGTAGCTAGTAGAAATGAACCCAGCAGAGCCTGGGCCTTGGTGAGCCCACCCCGAGCCTTGATTGCAGGGTAGCTCATCCCTGGGGAAGGTTCAAGCCCTGGCGAGGAGGTGAGCTACTTACTGGAGAGGCTTTAGCAGAGCGATGTAGCCCCTCCGCCCCACACTGCCTGTGCTGTGAGCAGTGAGGACAGTCGCAGCAGGGGCTTTCTCAGGCCCCCGCTCTGATGTCAGAGACTGCAGAAGTCTGGGGAGCAGCGCGGGGAGGGAGGCAGCTAGCATCATATTGCCATGGGAATGGCATGCACAGATATGTCCTTCTAGCTCCTGGGTGGCCTGAGCTGAGACCTGCCCTCCTGTTCCTAGGGAGAGGGAACAGAGACCCAGCCCTGTTTCTGGGGTGGGCTGCGACCAGTGCCCGTCCTGTGATGCGGAGCTGGGCTGGGGCACGGGAGGGGAGCTGCAGGCAGCCTGTGCACCGGGGCTTGGGCAGCACTGGGATGTAAGCGAGCCATGCTTCCTGCGCTGGCCCCCTGGGCTGGCACATTAGCCTGCAGCACCAGCTGGGCCCCTTGATCACCCTGCCCTTGGTGAGGGGGCAGGAGAGGGCTTCTCGCTGTGGAACTGACCCCTGACTTGGCCTTTGCCTCCCCAGCTGCCTGGCCAACCCAGCTGTGCCATCTGGAAAAGCCAAGAAGAGCAAAAAGAAGGTTTTGGAGCAGAAGAAATGGCAGAGCCTGGAAGAGACTGGGAGCGAAGTCTTGCAGCCAGGGAAACATGCCTTGCTCGCCAGGTGAGGTCCCTTCCTTCCTGAGGAGCCGTGGGCTCCCACAAACCAGGCTGCCACCTCCTTTCATTTCTAAGGCCCAGAGCACCTCCCTGCCATCTCAGATGCCAGCAGCCCCAGGGCCTGGCCTGCTGTCCCAGTGGCACCAGCTGAATTCGCCACCTCTCAGGTTTCCTCTTGGCCCATTCTCTGTTGTTTCCCTTTGCACATCCTTGGTGCAAAGACCAACCCTTCAGCCCATCCCCTCATGTTCCCCAGGACAAATATGCTGCCAGTGTGTGTGTGTGTCTGTCATGATCCTGTGGGTTTGGCCAGACTGCTCCACAGAGCCAGCCCTGCCATGCAGCACGTGTGCACACACATGCCATTGCACACACACATCTGCCTGCAGACACACCCCCTGCCTAGGGCTCTGGTGGTGTTGATGTTTGGCTCCTGGTTTCTTTCAGATCAAAGACCTATGACCCATCCTACTCCAAAGAGCCTGAAAAGGACTTGGTCTCAGGAAAGCAAAAGAATTCCTCTTCGGTGGGTCTCTGCCTGGGCTGGACTCTTTGCTCTGGGGCTGGGATGTGGGTGGGAGTTGGCTTTGCCTGCCCATGGGCATTGGGTAGAACTGGGGCCTGGCCAGCTGCTGGTGGGCTGGATCTCCTGGGCCCAGCTGGTGTAACATCGTCTCACTGGGCCCTTCTCAAAGCCAGCGAGGACTTTTCAGCATAAACATCCCTGTGTTGGCCTGGCCTCGGCAAATGTTGCTGATCACATCTGCGGACTCTTTCCTCCACCCACCTGGAGTCAGGGGAGGGATGTGCCGTAGTTTCAAGGCAGATTTAGAGATTGCCCCAGAGCTATTTGGATCCTCCCCCTATGCTAGGTCCTATGCTGAGACTTACCAGCTGTGGGGTCATATTCTGCAGGGCTGAGCATCCCCTCTGTTCTGTCCCCAGCTGGTCAAGCGCATGGTGAGCTTCCACAAGGCCTTCAAGGAGATCCCCGAGGAGGAAGCCCTGCTTGACAGTGAGTGCTGCTCCTCCTGCTCCCTACCACACTCATGCTGCCCTGGCGCTCCCGCTAATCCTGGTCCCCCTCTCCCTGGCCCACAGGTTTTTCATGTGCCTGGCAGAAGGAAGTGCCCTACCACGGCCGCCTCTACGTGTCCCAGAACTACGTCTGCTTCCACTGCAGCATGCTGCTCAAGGACGTCAAGGTGCGACCCGCCGGGCTGGCAGCTGTGCAGGGGTCGCTGACCCCGTGCAGTGCCCAGTGGCTCTTAGCACCTGTTAGTAGTGTGAGTCACATGGGGAAAGTGTGTGTGTGTGTGTGTTGGGGGAGTTGTCTGTGGTGTGTGCGCGACTGTGGGGAGCAGTGACAGTAAAGAATGGAGGATCGTGTTGTGGGGGAGATGGCACTTTGTGTAGTGTGCAGGGTGTACTGTATGGGAGGATGGTGGCTGTTGTGTGCTGTGTGTGTCGTGTGGGGGAAGTCAGGCCATGCGGAGGGCTGTGTGTGGTGTGATGGGACAGGAGCGCATGTTAGCAGGGGATGGTGATGAACTTTGGGGGGGTGCTGCTGGGGATGGTGGTATGTGTAGGGTGTGTGTGTGGTATGAGGGGGTGGGGGCATGCGGGGTGGTTTGGGGCACACTGGTGTGTGCTCTGTGTGTGTGGTGTGGAGGGATGATGGTGTATGAATGGTGTGGCAGGGATGTAGTGTGTGGAGTGTGCTGCAGCGGGTGGGTGTGTGTGGGTGGTGTGTACAGGGGGGAACAGTGGTGTGTGCAGTATGGGGATGGTGTTGTGTGTGTGAGCTGGGGGCTTGGGCAGTGTGAGAGGATGGTGATGTATGTGACATGTGAGGGAGAGTCTAAGGGGTGGAGGACAGTGTTGTGGGGTCAAGGGATGGCGGTGTGTGGTGTGAACAGTTCTGCATGGGTGTGTATATTTTATCTCTCCCCCCATGGGCCAAACCCTCTGCCTACGGGTTTGGCCCCAGAGCTGGTTTGCTCACACCTGCTCCAAGAGGCAGCTGTTCTCTTCTCCCTGCGGCTGCCCTCAAGACATCTAACTTGGCAGCAGGGGCCCGTTAGCCTGGCAGAGCATTGCGATGGCTCCCCAGGGCTGGCCAGAGCCTGCAGCAGCTGCCCTGGAAAGCTGTGAAGACCCTGCTGAGTCCTCACACCGCTCTCTGCCCAATGCGGCTGTGTGATGAGCCTATGGTATCAGAGCTTGTTGGTAGCCCACCGAGTGGGCACGCGATCTCTCTGCAGTGGGTCTGTGCCAGGGCTACTGCAGGGGGCCAGAGCGACAGCTCATTGATGGGGGTCTGCTTGAGGGATGTGGTGCTCTCATCCGTGTGCTGCAGGAGCCGGCCGTAGCTCATGCTCGGGACAGTTTGCCAGAGCCGAGTGCTGAGGGTGGCAGCCCTGAGGGGGCTTCGGCCTTCCTGCACCAGCCTGGCCCCTCCTCTGACACAGGCAATGGCTGGGGGCCCCTCCGCCAGCCTGCCTGGTGCCCGCAGGAGGGATTCTGGAGCCAAGGCAGCACTGGGCACAACCCAGGCTTCTCTGTGCCTGGCCTGTGCTCCCCACCCCATCCCTGCTGGAGGGTTTGATGGAATCGGCATCATGCCAATAACCTTTTGCTTATTGCTCTTCTGTGCTGGCTCAGGTGGTGATTCCTGTCTCCTCCATCACCATCTTCAAGAAAGCCAACACTGCGCTCCTGGTGCCCAACGCACTCAGCATCCGGACGGTGGAAGGTGAGAAGGTAAGAGCAGGTGTGACTTGTGTGGCACCACATCCCCAGGGCCTCTGGAGCAGAACATGCCCTGTTCTTGGCAGCAGGCAGCTCAAGTTTGGCAACATGGCAGAGCTCCTTGATAAGCCAAGGCCGGAGGAACGGGCTGACAGGGTGGGAAAAGAGCGAGTGGGAGCCTGGGGAGAGGTGGCAAAGTGGAGGCAGAAAAGCAGTGCCGGTGTTACAGGAGGGGAAGCCGTGAACACAGGGAGGAGGGTGGTGAAGACAGTTGGTGATTTGGGTCCAGCAAATGCAAGGAAAAGTCAGGAGGGAAATTGGTTTGGACTGAACCAAATTTCTTTGAAAGATATGGGTTGTTTCCCAAACCAAAATGCTGTTTCCCTTTGACCCTGGGGCTGTGGCCCTTTCCCAGGAGGTGATGCACAAAGTCTCACTGCCTGCCTCTGCCTGAGAGGTTGAACTAATATCACCCCCTTTCCAGGAGAGCCCTCCTGGCAAGCTGCACGGGGCTGCGGGCTGGGGGTGCTCCCTGCACCCCAGTGAGGCTGCTCAACTGTAACATGTTTAACTATCTGCTGAGACAGAGTGAGAGGCAGACCAGCTCTCTGGCCCAGTGGTTAGGCCATTCCCTGGGAGTGGGATCTGGTTTCCCATTCCGGCACCTGCTAAACTACCAATGCACTTTGACCATTGAGCTCACCCCCTAGCACGGTGTGTTCCCTGGGCATCTGGCACTCTCCTGCAAGACGTGGAGTTGAATCCTGGGCAAAGCAGTGACCTGAGCCCAGCCCTCCCGCTTGCCAGGAGAGTGCTCCAGACCCTGGGCTGTTGGATCAAGGGAGGCACCCGTCTGGCCCTGGGAAATATTTTCCAGCAACATTTGGCCAATTTGACCCAAATTCACGAGCACTTCGGGGACCATGGAAACTGCAATTTTCAACAAATGTACTGGTTGCTAAAAACTACCCCTGGCTCCAGGTGGGAGGGCCTGGGGGGAGCAAGCGCTGCAGAAGGGGCTCTCCAGTGGGGTCCAGCCAACACTGACCTCTCCCCCTCCCTACCTGGGCAGTTTCTCTTCGTGTCGCTGCGCACCCGGGAAGCCACCTACCAGCTGCTGAGATCAGTCTGCAAACACCTGCAGGTAGGGACCGAGCCGGCCACCCTCATGTTTGGTCTCCATGTCTCTGTCCTGCCCGTACATTAATACTCATGGGGAGGTGGGGCGGTGTGTCCCGGTGTGGCTAGTGCTGGCCAGCTGCCGTCTTGCATAGTGCTGCGTGGCTTGCAGCCCACTACTCCCCACTGCCCCCCTGGCGTGTCCCCTCGTGGTGCTGCTGCCCCTCCATCCTGACCCCCAGGGGCTCCTCTCATGGCTGAAGCTCTGGGGAGGCCCCAGACAGTTCATCTGCTCCCTTTCCCCACAGCTCAGCTGGAGCCCCTCAGTCCTGGCCCCAGCACACACGCTCTGCAGTTCTCTCTGAGCCAGAGGGGGTGAGATGAGGATGAAATTCCCAGAGGTGAATGCTCCTGGGGCTCCTTGTTTGGGGGAAGCATCTCCCAGCAGCTGCATAGAGCCCCCCTCAGCCTTGGTGACCAGGCGTATGTCCCCACTGTGACCCTCCGACTTCTTGTTGTTCTAGGACGAGAGCAGGAACAGCAGCCCCACAGCCACACCAACCACTGCCAGTCCCGAGCACCTCCTCAAGAAGCCTCTGGTACGGCTGAAAACTCCCCCTCTGCCCTGACTTGCAGCTGGGCACTGGGCCAAGGGGTCTAGGCTGGCACTGCTGCTGCTGGCATTGGTTTCATTAGAGCTGGGGTGCTGCTCCAGGACTCGGGCAGGGGCCCCACGCTCTAGCTGGACCTGCTGTGCTGGCTGGTCTGGACCCTGCTGCAGGCTCACACAGGGCAGGTGACTTCTTCCTCCAGCCCTTTGCTCAAGGCACTGACCTGGCTCCGGCCCTTCCTAGGGCCACCCATCAGCTGGGGGTTTTGCCTGAGCTACAGCTGCCTTGCCAGGGTCCTGGGCTGGGAGTGGAGCTGGCTCTCTGGGCAGCAGTGCTGGCGATGCCTGTGCTTTGCTGTGGGATCTGTGCCCTCGTCTGCCCATCCTTTGGGCTGCCCTGGTTTAAAAGACCCTGTGGGGAACCTGCACCAGCCTGGCTGCCAATTCGAAGAGTGCCAGGATGGGAGGTGGCTCCAAATCCAAGCCCAAGGCTGACCCCGGCCTCCATGGCAGCCCTCTTTAATGAGGGATCACCCCTTACCCCATGCTCAGGCATGACTGACACCCAGGATCTCATTGCTTTTTAAGTGCTTGGAAAGGGCTCCAGGACCCTCTTTCATGGCTCCCAAGAGAGGTGCCAGAGAGCCAGGTCCCTGGAAGGCTCAGGAAGCCCCAGGCAAGGAACCTCTAGAGGCAGCAGGGCCCTGGCACCAGCCCAGCATCTTGGAGGCCCTGGACCTGTCCCCTTTGCCAGGAAGCCTGGCTGTGTTGGATCCTGCAGGCTGTCACCCCTCCTTGCTTTTGCTGGTCAGTACCAAGCGTCAGGAGTGATGAGAGAGATGGGGAGGGCTGGGCAGCAGCAGTGGAAGGAGGGAGCAGGGCCCCTCTGTGACCAGCGACATTTCCTCTTTCAGACCTCAAGCCAGTCGGACCTGGAACACAACCCGCAGGAGACTGACAGCCTCCTGGATACGCTAGGTGAGGCTGGGCCCTCCCTGCCAGGTACCGGCTTCAGCACCCTGGTACACTGACCCCTCACACGCTCACCCTCTTGCCTTCACACATGTGCCTGCACACAGCTCAACTCTCATTCACTCACACTCATTTCCATGTGTAGCCATAATAATGAGAGTTCACTTGCACGACTATTGTCTGTGCATGCACATGCACATTTGCACACAGGCTGCATGCTCATTTGCACCCATGCACGCTCATTTGCACACACAGAAAGGCTCACTCACAGGCACGCACTTGCAATTTGGTTCCTATTTGCAGTCTTTCACATTCTGCACCCATTTTGGGAGCATGCTTCTCCTTGCAAATGCACTCATTTGCACAGAACCATGCTGCTCAGAGCCATGCTGTGCCCGTCAGCCACGGAGCCTGACTTCCACGCCAGGACCATCACCCAAGTGTTCTGGCTGGAAGAAGTCTGACCAGCCTGCTCCACACAGCCCCTTTGGGGAGGCACAATCACACACACACACATGCAGCACCCCTCTCTCCCTTCCCACTCCCATTGCCTTGCACTCACTGGAGCTCCTGACTGCAGGCTCTGTGTGCCAGCTCTCTGGGAACATGGACTGCCCCAGCCCACCCTGGAAAGCAGGATCCCTCTTAAGTCAGTGCCCGCAGTCACATATGTCGCTGCCCTGCCTTGCTGGTGCACTGACCTCCCTGGGTGGGGGGACACCCCTGCACTTGGCTTCTGCTGGGCACATGGAGCACTCAGTGAAGGGGATCCTGTTGTATGTGCAGATGGGCCCAGGCCAAAGCAGAACAGGATGAAGGAGGATGTGGGCAAGCACTCAGCGGCTCTGAGCAAAGGTGAGCGGGCCCTCTGAGTCAAGAGTCACAGCCACCTCTGCAGGCCCTGTCCTGCCGGGCACTGCACCACCCACCCTGTGGGGATGTGTCGCCAGGCCACCACCCCAGCGCCCATCCTTTGCAGAGACACTAGGCATCAGCTTAGCTGGCCCATGTGTTACTGGCGGCGTGTTACTCCAGATAATGGGAAACGGGGTCCCCATTGGTGCCCCCTTGGTGCCAGCTTGTCCTGCAAACCCTATGTGTACCCCAGGCTATGTGTTCTTCTCTGTCGCAGTGACTGCTGGACAGTGGTATGGCCATGCTCCCTTGCCAGGCCTGCTGCAACTTTGAAACCAGGTGCTAACCTGCTGTCAGTCAGTCTGGAGGAGTCAGCGCAGGCTGGCCCTGGGACAAGTGAGACAGGACCTTGCCAGTTGGATCCCTTGCCCAGAGCAATGGAGCTGGGCTGCCATCACTCCCACAGCTTTCACGTGCAGTAGGCACTGTGGCTCTCCTCCTTTTGCAGGAGTGAAACCTGTGGCTCTTCAGCCCCCTCACTGGCTCATATGGGGATGCACCCACTTTACCCCCTCAATTCAGAGAGAGGCTATGGGGCAAGGGGGAGGCCATGCAGTCCCCTGTACCCCCACAAGATCTGCAATGGTACCTTCTTCTGCAGGGGGCACCCGGGCCGTCGAGCAGACCAAGGTGACGACGAGCAGCTGGTGGTCGCAGCTGAGCACTCTCAATGTGGTTATCCTCATCTACCTGCTGCTGTGAGTGCTGGGGCAGGGCACTAATGAGGCACCCTTCCATGGGCACGGCCAGGTCTGCACTGGGCAGTGCTATGCCAGGGCCACTCTGTGCCTAGCACTGGCACCCCATTGGCTCCAGGTCTTATGCTGCTTAGCTGGCATGCCTTGCAACTCTGGCCTCAATCAGATACCATCATGGCTCTGATGTCCAGACCAGCCAAGCAAGGGTTAATGTCACCCTTTCCCCTTCCCACCCATGTTGGCAGCTCTGGGTGTGGCAGGGACCGTGGGCTCATGCTGCCCCTCTCTCCAGGGTGGTCATCCTGCTGCTGTCCTCGGGGTACATCGGCCTGAGGATCGTGGAGCTGGAGCAGCAGCTGACGTCGATGGGGGCCTGGCCGGAGCTGAACCTGCAGCGCCAGTGAGTGCAGGAACCCCGTCCCTGTCCTCTGGGTGCTGGGGTGGGCATTTGGAGTAGATACTTGTGGAGGCCCAGCAGCCACTTTCTCCTGGTCACAAGGTCCCCCGCCCCCAGTCTGATGGGCCAGGGCACCTGCCACCAAGGAGTCTGCAGACCGGGTCCTGCTGTTGCTCATGGCACTCACTTTCCTTCCCCGCCTTGTTGGCATGCGAGGGTAGGGACTGCTTCTCGCTGCCTTTGTGCAGCGCCCGGCACCGCACCGCGGGCCTGGGAGGGAGGGAGCCCATGCCACTGGTGGCAGGCATGCCGTGGGTTCACAGCTCCTGATCTAGGCTGTCACACCTCGCATCAGCAGAAGAGCCGAATGGCTTGGTGGAGCTGCCTGTCAAAGCCTAACCGCCAAGGGCCGTGACCGTGCACAGGGGAGACCCCAGCCTGGCAGACTTCTCCCTCTGAGACTCAGGCCCTGCAGCTTTGCCCTGGGGGCCTGAGCAGAGCTCCTGGGGTGTGTAGGATCTCACCAGCACCAGCACATAGTGGCAGGATCCTGGGGCTGGAGAATACAAGAAGGTGGATGTCAAATATCCCCTCTCCCCTAAGCGCTGGGGAGTTTGTTCCAGGCATTGGGGGCTCGGACAGTAAAGAAGTTTTTCCTTATGTCCAGCCTAAAACGGTCTTGCAGGAGTTTGTGACCATTGGACCTTGAGAGCAGACACAGGCCACCTCCTGTCTTCTCACGTGATGCAGCTGCCCTCACGTGGTGCCCACACGTAGCACCAGGGTGCAGCGTAGGGGGCTGCAGGGCAGGTCCTGCAGGCTGGTCTTGTCTGATGCAGATCCTACAGGCAGCTCTCTGTGCTGAAGCCAGTTATCTGTGGTGCTGTTTCTGGCCGTAGCTCGTTGTGAGCAGCTGGCCAGGGAGTCTGAGACCATTTGGGACTGTTGGGTCCAGGTGCTGCCTACAGCACAGCAGCAAGAGGAAGGCTAGCCGAGGCCTCCTGGGCAAGCCCACACTGCCAGTTAAGCACTTGGCTAAAAGCATGCCATCGTAGGGCTGGAAAGGACCTCAAGGACCTCTAAGTCCAACCCCTGATGCAGGACTGCCTGTTCCTAAGGGACCCGCACACACAGCAGTGGTAGGAGGCTGAGGGGCAGAGTGCAGAGGCGATGCCCATAGGGGCAGAACAGGAGTTTGCAGGGAACCTGTGCCTTACAACAGCGAGCTACCCTCACTCCCAGAGCTGCTGCCCTGCCAAGCAGAGCCCCCTCCCAGATGTCCTGAGCCCAACCTTCTTGCTCTTACGTATTTAGGTACAAGAAGACATGAAGTCAGCAAAGACTCCGGCCCCTGTAGGACCTTGCCTTCCGCTGGACAGAAGCCACCGCTGACCCAGACCGGATGGGACAGAGACTTCACAACCTCTCAGCAGCTCCCCATCACTGCTGGGAGACTGATCTTTATCTTATGCTGAGCTGAGCTCAGGCTGGTTTTAAGGAGTGTGGCGGGTGCTGGATTCGGGACAAGGCACAGCCCAGGAAGGGACCTGGGCAGAGCTCCTCCTCAGCCGGGGCCTGAACAAGCTGCATTTAATCCTTAGCACTCCCCTGGGGTCGGGCACCACATGCCTTCCAGAGTGACACTCCTCCGCACCTCTCCCTGGGGCTCCCCGGCCTGCCCTTTGGAACCGTTCCCAGCAAGGACCTTGAAGCTCCTCCTTGGCCCTGCTGATATCTGCCTCGGCTCTGACGACTAATGGTTTAACTGCACTGGGCAGGCCACTTTCCAGTGAACTTTGGCCAAGCCTAGGAGCAAACGAGATGGCAACACCCTTCGCTGCGAGGGAAAGGAAATGGGCATCTCTAGTTCCAGATCCACGTGCTTTGTCATGTGTGTAGTTTATTTGCATGGGGGTGGGAGTCTGGTGTTCTGGCTGTGCCAGGCTGGGTGGGATATGCTTGGAGCCAGTCAAGTCTGGGAGCAGGCTCCAGGGTTTGGCTGGGCAGCAGTGCAGGGTGGCAGCCTCTTGCCTGTCTCCTGTGACCAGGGCTCCAGCTCTGTTCTCCACCTGGGGGGAACCACGCACGCCTCTTGGAGACAGGCTTGGCTCAGGCTTCGCCTGTGCAGAGCACTGCGGGGGGTGTCATTGACTTCTCTTAGCACCTTCTGTACAGTCAGCTCCAGGGAACGGGGGCAGCAGGGAGAGGAGGGGTTGCAGCTGCTGTTACCCAGCACGGGCCACCGGGAGGGTAACAACTGGGCCTGAAATTCCTCGCCAGCCCCCAGCCAGAAAGCAACGGATATGGGGACACTGTCGGGAGCAACGGGAAAGGGCAGGCAATGCTAGAGCCATTTGGCCGTGCACTGTGTGACAGCTGTGGTGGCACCACTGGTGTGAGCAGGGAGCCAGGGCCAAGCTGCCCCTGCAGCCGCAGTCTGCACGGGTCTGAGTCTAGTGCTGTTGGGGACCATTTCATCATGCTGCCAGGCTGAGAGCTGGGCACTGGGGCAAGGTGCCCCTTATACCTCTCAGCACTCACAGCTTGCACCCAGTGACAAGCTGATCCCTAGAGGTGTACAGTCAGGCCCTGGCCGAACCCAGGCTTGATTCCCTGATTAAGGACAAGGTGGGGGTGGGGGAGGGGGCAAGGACAGCTGTATTGTATTATCAATAAAGGAATTCACCCAGTCAGCAAGCCCTGCTCATTCTCCACTGGCTGTCCATCAATGCATTGAGTGATCCTGCTCACCCTCAGGGGTGAGCTGAAGGAAGGATGGCCCTGCTCTACTGCCTGCCCCCTACACCCCTTCCCTGCACCCTCCCTCGGGCCCAGACAGGGAGCCTGGGAGGCTGAGGGGGCTCCTCAGAGTGGGTCCCTGCAAGAAGGCCACTTGCGAAGTGGCCTCCTTGCCCGGCCGCTCCGGAGGGCAGCAGGTCTCGGATGAGATCCAATCGCTGGTCCAGCTGCATGGGGGGGTGGGGGGGTGGAGAATCAGGATCTGCATTAGAGCAAAGGCTTCTGTCCTGGAGCCAGAGCAGACAGGACCAGCCAAGCTGGGAAGTGGGGTCCTTTCATGCCTGCCCCACCTGCACTTGATAGCCCCCAGGAGAGCTGCTGATTAAGACATAAAGCCCGTGAGCTCTGTTACAGGGTCATCTTTATGCCATCGAGGCCATGCCCTGCCTTGCTGCCCAGGGCAGTGGGGCAGGTGATGGAGGGGGAAAGCGTGTGAGCAGCAGGGCTGGGCCAGGCCCCAAACACCAGCACAGCAGGAGTGCTGCAGCCAGCCCCACCCACGACCCCCTGCACCATGTTGTGTGAGGAGTGACAAGCTCCTGGGCCCCTGCTGTGCTGGCGCGAGCGGGGAGATGGAGGGATAGCCACAGGATGTGAGGAATGGCTAGCCACCTACAGCACAGGCCTCAGCACCATGTGCAGGGCACGGGGGGTCTGGCAGTGATCTTCAGCTCACTCTTCCGGTCCCTCTTCTGCTCGTCCATAGGCTCCAGGGAGCCGAGCGAGAGCTGAGGCTGGGTGGCTGTCAAAGGGACTGGGCCAGCCAGAAAACCGAGTGAGCCGGGCGACCAGCAGCAGCTTTGCTGGGGGGATGCTTGGGGTGTTCCCAGGGCCTGGCAGGGAGAGTAAGGTGGCTCTGAGCGGGTAGAGACTGGGAGAGGTCTGGCTCCCCCACAGCAGGTGCACAAGCCGGGGGATGGCACTGGCAATATCAGAGCCATGTGCTGCATGAATGGCATAGGCAGCTAGACACATCGGCCTGGACTCAGCTGGGCACAGGGCCCAATAAAGCAAACAGGCTTGACTTGCCCAGCCACCCCACAGTAGTAGCCACCCCAGCCCATCCGCCTCCTTCCCTGTCCCCCAGGAAGGCACAGGCCAGAGCTGCAGTGCGGCATTTATTGGCTGGTGGATGGCTGGTGGCTGAACAGGCTCCAGGTGCGGAAGTCCCTGGTGGTGAACCGGGGGGTGTGGGTCGACAGGTAGGGGACGTAGCTGGCCTTGCCCTTCAGTTCACTGGTGCAGCGGTTGCGGTTGACAACTGGAAAGCAGGACAGCAGGTGAAGGGGGCAGTGGTGCAGGGGCAGCAGCAGGGCATGGGCAAGTAGTCAGGCAGGGGGAACCCCAGGCCCACTTGGCCACAGCAAGGGACAACAGGAGCAGCCCTGGGTGGGAGGGCTCCAGGCAGCCATACCCGGTGGCCAGAGCCCCTTCAACTGACTCCCCAGCATGGCAGACTGAAGGCTCCCAGGCCCACAGGGGCACCGCAGCTCCTGGTCCCAGTCCAGGGCTGGCAAGGAGCAGTGATACAATTGCCCAGGCCTGTGTGGAGTAACACTGGGACTAGGCACAAGGAGCCCTGTGTCTGGGGTGCTCCAGGATAGGTGACACCCCAAGTTACACCTTGGGAGGACGTGGAGGGAAGTCACGAAAGCACGGTAGTGATGGGCATGGTAACCAGCTCCAGCTGCTGCCCATCCCACCCCACCCCACCCCTTCACAAGTGCAGCAGGGGCCCAAGAGACCCTCCTTCCCTTCCCCATGCCCTTACCGTACTCCTTGCCCAGGATGGGTTTGTCTCTCCAGCGGAAGGCCCCCCACCGCGTGCTGGGCTCCAGGTACTGAGCAGGTACAATGGGGTCGTACCATGCCACCTCTCGCAGGTGCTGGGCATAGGCTGCAGGTGGGAGCAAACACAGCCATCAGTAGGAATGGGAGGGCAGGCAGAGCAGGGCCCCAAGCTGCCAGGGCAGCAGCTGATGCTGGGATTAGCCACAGGGGAACCGTCACAATGCCCCGGGCAGAGAGCAAAGGAGTTGCCTTTTAACAAACACGTTCAGCTGCCTGATCACAGCTGCCTGGCGCAGCCCTGGATGGAGCCACGTGTCCCGGCCTCTCGTGTCTGTCAGACACACAGCAGCCCTCAGCACCATCTCAGGGCCGTACGTTCTGCAGGCCAGGCAGACAGCAGTGGCACGTCTGCACTGGGCAAACACATACCCCCTCCCTCCTCATCCCCCACTGTGGCTGCCTTGGGGGCACGCTGGTTTCCCAGACACTTCCAAGGGAAGGCGGCCCAGGGCTGGGGACCAGCCTGGGAGCTCCTCAGCCCAGGGGAGGTGCTTGCTAGAAGCCAGGGAGTGAGAGTCAGGGCTGGAGTGCGGCCAGAGCATGAAGCACAAAGGAGATTTCAAAACAGAGGGCACATTCTCCAAGGATGCGGCCGGTGCCGAGCTAATACAGGGCACAGCGGGTGCGTGAGTGTACAGGCACTGCTGGTGGAGGCTGGGCATGACCCCATCCCCACTGCCAGGATCCAGCTGATACTGCTGGACATTACAGGATGGTGCAGAGCATGCCCCAGTGGGAGCTGATCCATGGGGTCCTGGCACAGGGAGCTCATGCCAGTAGGTAACATGCCCCCGCCTTTTCCAGTGCCAGCCTTGAGCACTAGCCTGGTGCACCTGCCTCTGCAACTGCTTCCACCTGCTGCTGACAGGAGCCCCGCTGCCCTCTGCCGGACGCTTGGTGCTTTGCTTGCAGCACATGTATGGGCAGGCCAACAGGGGCAGTAGCAGCAGGTGTGCGAGTCAGTGCGATGCCCCCTTCCTAGCCCTGAGCCTGGCTCCTTCCCACACCCCTGTGCCTGCAGCTCAGATACTCAGCCCCTGCCATGGCCTGGCCACCTCTTGTGGAGATCGCAGGGCACAGATCTGCACCTCTTTTGCTGCAGCTTCCTCCCCTCTGCAGCCCCAAGCAGCCAGGATGCAGCCTGTGCAGAGCTCAGGGGTACAGGCACGGGAGCCCTGTCCTTGCCCATGGCCGGGAGGCTGAGACCAACGGTGTCTCATGGACCTGTGTCCCGAGGCTCTTCGCACATCAGCTCTTTGGGGCAGGAACTGTTTTGCTGCCCTGCATTCGTCCAGCCTCTGGGACCTGACAGGTCTGCCCATGGTCTCAGGTTTCTGACTCCGTGTCCTTCATTTGGTGGCTCCCACCTGCTGGCTCTTTGTTCCAGGCCTGTTCCTAGCTCCTTGCCTCTGACTCCAGTTCGAACCTGTCTGTACAGTCAGCTTCTGGCTGGTGGCTTTACTTTGGCAATCGCCTGAATCCCTGTTATAGCTACTGCTGCCTGCTCTGGACCCCCAGGCCAGTGATGCCAGTCTGGATCCCTGCATCCTGCTTCTGATGCCCCCTGTCCCTTACAGACTGCAGCCTCCTGACCCACTGCTTCTTTTCCACCCCACCTCTAGACTGGTCCTTTGCTGACTCCTCAGGTCCCCTGCATTGCAACCCTCTAGAGCCAGCCCCTCACCCACCCACATCCCAGTTGCACCAGCACAGCAAGACCTTGAGCTCTGCTGGCATCAGTCAGCAGCACCAGGCCTAGCAATGTCCTCACTAGATCCTAGGCTCTCTGAGGGTTTTATGCTGCTGCCTGTCTCCATGGGAGCCACTAATGGCTGCTTTATAGGGCTCCACTCACGTGGTTCAAGAGGTTGGCAATTAAGAGATACTATAAACATGTTACCGCACAAAGGTAAGCAAGGGTTGTGATGGGGGCGGCATTTCAGAAGGCGACAGGATAATGGCTGCAGGCAGCTAAGAGATCTGTCACCAGGGATTAATCCTTTACCACCACCTGTCTTTCAGCTCTCTACAAGCAGAGCCCCTAGTGAGATGCACAGTTTGTATCCTCAGCTTCTCCTGCAGCGTGTTCCCAGACTAACATCATGACTGCCTGTTCCCTTCCTGAACAAGTTGGGAAGACACGAGCAAGACAGCAGGTGTGCTGGATCCAAAACCCCTCAGTCACACAGCAGGGGTAGAGATCCTTCAGTCTGATCTCCAGGTGCAAGTCCCCATTTCCCTGCTCCTCGTGTCTTCACACACCAGGGCACAGGGAGAGGAAAATGGGTGCAAAACGTTGCCATAGCAGCCCCGGAGATCTCCGAGCACTGGGTGGCCCCTGCCACGTGCACCTGCACAGCACAGGTTGGGTGACACTGGAACAGGGCCAATAGCTCAGAACATTAATAAGAGCCCCAGCAAACGGCCGCCCCATTGAGAGCCATTGCAAAACGCATCTCCCCGAGGCTCCAGGCATACACAGACGCAAGAGGATGAGGACCTGTAGGGGAACCAGGGCATGTGCACACAGCACAACTATGAGGGACTAATTCAGTCCAGAGTTTACTCTGTATAAGGAGCAAATTCAGCTGTGCTCATGGTCTGCCTGCAGCAAAGAGCTATTACAGTGCCAGGCTGCAAGGCAGCAGAGGAGCTGGTCTACTCTGGGCAGACAGCTGCCCTGGGAAAGACTGCTCAGAGCACACACCCACGCAGTACACTGGGGTAAGGATGCTCCTTGCTTTCCTGGAGTGGACTGACTTGCACTGCTGTAAAGCTGTGCACTGTACGTCCACTCCATTTAGACCAGAGGAAAATCCATCTCCTTTAAAGTACACGAGCTGTATCTGCACCCCTCACAAATTTCTTTTTCAGGGCATCTTAGCCCGTTATTTTGTATGTACTAGAGTAGCACCATGGAGCTCCGCTCCTGGACCAGGAACTCCATGTGATGACCTATCTACAAGCACACACTGAGATGGTGTCAGGCACTCCAAGCCCCAGCAGCACTTAAGGGAGAAGGGATATTTGACATTCACTGGTATTCTCCAGCCCTTGTGCTCATGCACCTGAGGGGTAATGAAAGAGCAGCCAACAGGAAGCCCTGGCCTGAAGACCCTGGTGTCCTAGGAAATGCAGCTCCCACTTGCATGTCTGCAACAACACAATGCTTCCAATGATGTTGGAAAGGAGATGGCGCTAGACTCTGCTGAGCTGTGGTCTTCTAGCCTGGGAAGCACGGGCAGGATGGAAAGGGCAGGGCACTGGGAGGGAGAGAGACTGTTTCAATGCAGCTTCCCAGGTGTTCTCCAGAATGACCAGATACCCCAAGGGGCTCCCAGGGAGGAGGTACAGAGCATTACATGCACTAGGCTTCACAACACAGGGAAACTGAGGCATGGAGCAGTTCAGCGATTTGCCCAGCAGCCCCCTAGCCAGGCAGTGGCAGAGCTGGGGCGTGCAAGCAGTACTCCTTCCCTTCCCAAGCATAGCCTGGACCACCTAGCTGCACAGTGGGGACTATTATAGAGACAGTGATGGGGGCCCCTTCAGCTTCCATCAGCAAGGTGCAGCAAGCAGGAAAACACAAGAGCAACATCATAAGGAAGCACTCAGTGCATGTCAAAAGCACCTCTGCCATGCAGAGTTAATGCAGGCAACTGGCACTTGGTCCTGGTGCAAGCAGTCACTGGAACCAGCACACCTCTCTGGTGCTGTCCTCCCTGGGGCTGCCAGCTCACCTCCTACTGCTCTTTGCATAAGTTGCCCTACATGTTGGGGGAAACACACCTTGGCCAGCCCAGCACACAGTCCAGGTGCCCTGCCCCAGGCTCACATGCTGGCTGGCATCAAGGTGAGGATACAGCTTGGGGTCATGGGGGCAGGGAAGCACATCCTGCTCTCACTGCTGGTGCTAACTCAAGCTCCTCTGGCAGCAGGATGTCAGTGCAGGGCATGTGACAGGGGAGGGAAGCTGTGAGGAGTGCTTGGGGCTGGGCAGGCAGCAGATGCCTTGCTAAATTCAAGCCAACAGCTACCTTAGGGCAGTGGAAGCAGCTGCTGCTGGCATTAATCCCTGTGGGACCTGGCTCTGCAGAGAGGCAGGGCACCACCAACTGTAACAGCACAGGGTGAAACAAGAGGCCTCACAGGGCGTTGCAAGTGGCCCAGGCTCCCCTCTAGGCCTCACCGCTCCAGCTTACCAGGGGGCAGGGTTTTTTGCTCCCGCTTGGCATGGGCCTGGGCCCAGCAGTGGTAGGCCTCCCGGCTGACAGGGCTGGTGAGTGTGTACCAGGCATCCCGGTTGTCGCTATTGGTCAGCCCTGCGTACCAGGTCTGCCCGCGGGCATCCCAGCCCATGGGGGTGCACGACCAACGCACGGCCTGCTTCAGGATGGGGGCGTTGTGGGGCCCTCGCAGTGTCAGGTATTGGTCACTGCAAAACAAGAAGGGTGGTTAGAGCTGGGTGCTGGGCCTGCAAACGGGAGGTGCTGCATAGCCAGAGCCCCCACCACTGACTTGTCGGGTCACATCCCCTTCGACTCTGGCCTGTGCCACCCAGGGCCTCTCTCACTCCTGAGTCAGGTCCAAGGGCACTAGAACATGGATGCGGGTGCAGCACCTGAGCCGGCATGGGGCTGCCCACAGCACAAGCTGCCCAAACCCCTCAGCTGCTGTACTTTGGACTCTGATGATTTGCCTGTGCTGGGCTCCATGCCACTGCAAGCGCTCCAAGCCCTACAAACAGGACTCCAGGCACCTCCCATCTGCCTGCCCCAGCTGCAAGGTGAACCCCTGACGTGCCCCCACAGCACCAGATCAGGGCCAAAAGGCAGGCCCAGCCCTGAGAGCTGGCGGAGGAGCCCACAAAAAGGTGCTCCTCCACAGCTGATCAGGGCTTGAAGGTTTACTCTGGTCAGAGCCAGGTCTAGAGAGCACACCTCCCACTCTCCCACCCCATACTGATGGGTGGGTGAACAGCCAGCTGTGAAAGGGGAAAGCCTGGAAGGTGGCTCGGCCCTCCTGCACCCCATACACACAGCAGGGAACACTGGGGGGGGACGTGCTTGGGGGGTCTATTGAGAACCAGGAGGCAGAGCAGGAAGACCCTTTTGGACCGAGGATTATGGTGCAGGGTAGATGGGTCCATGCTCCCCCGTTCCTACAACCTCTCACCCCTCAGCTCTGGTGCTGGAGACACGGAAGGTGCCTCGTGCCTGCAAAGCACTTGGAGTATCTACACTGAAGCTGCCCGGGAAGCCAAGGCCCAGCCGGCCAAGCGTCACAGTTGGCAACAAAGCAGGTGCTAAATCTTGAGGCTGCCTGACCCCCAGCTAGGGCCCAGCCCTGCCTCCCACCCCCACCGCGACCCTTTCACTCCGAGGCACGGGGAGGCTCTCACCTGTACAAGGGTGTGGGGAAATCAGTTTCCAGAGTCCCCTGTGGGACGTATGGACGGTCGGCCTCCAAATCCAGGCCCTCCATGGCTGCCTCCTCTCAGCCCACGGCTCGCACTGCACCTGCAATCCAGCTGCCATATCCAGGCTATTGTTGCTGTAAGGAGAGCATGGCAACCATCCCCCGGGCAACCGGGCAGCAGCAGGAACAGCCAGAAGTCCCAGCAGGCAGCGCTGGGTCCTGCAGGAGGGATGGCAGGTGGGCTAGAGCAGCTTCTCCAGACCACCGAGCCGGTGGGATTCAGGCCCCTGCTGCAGTAGGCCAGAGCTGATCCCCCTTGGGCTGTTCTCATCCTAGCCCAAGGACAGCGTGGCCTGCCAGAGCTGAGCTGAAGAGGCTTTACATCACCCCCTTGGGAAACAGGAGGAATGAGGTTTTGGGTACCTTAATGGAGCAGGAATTTCCTCTCTGGAGAGATGCCTGCTCATTGGTTTGATGCATTTCCTTCACCAGAAAGCTACTAGTTCATTGCCCTGCTAAAGGAAGGGTCCCAATACACACAGAGCCTGTCCTAGCACAGCAATCCTCTCTGAGAACGTGGTCCTCCCACCCCACTCCCTTGTCACTGGTAGCAGGGATGGGGGCAGAAATCGAGAGGTTTGGAGGGGGTTAGTTTCAGATCCTCTACCTTGGATGCCCTAGAGGGTTTCAATGTGGAGGTAAAGAACATAAGGGGGTGAGACATCCAGGAAGAAGCAGCTCAGACAAACCGTGGACAGCCTCGTAGTTTGATGTCTAGTCAAAACCAACTTGGGGGCTTGCTCAGAGCTGTCGATTAGCAGGTAGGGGAGGAGGGAGACCTGCGTCCTGCCATCCCAGAGCCTTACGCTGGCAATCTCCAGTGAAATACGCACAGCACAGATTATGGCCGTTCCCTACTCCCCTAGTATGTGCTTCCTCTCTTGCCCCTGATACCTCATAAGTATGTTAGCTACTCTGCTCAGCTTGCTGCTGTGTATGTGTATGACCCACGTCTGGGGGTGTCACAGTGAACGAGTGTGAGGAGCCTAGAACTGTGCAAGAGAACAGCAAAGTGGGTTAACATTCCTACTTAATGGGCATGTCTACAAAAGACGCTTTACTGTGCAGCAGAGCTAATTACTGCACAGTAAGCATCACCGTCTACATGTGCCGACCCTTACTGCACATTCATTTCTTGTACTCAGTTCATTTGCTACCTACAAATGCAAGTAGCAAATTAACTGCTGATTAATTATTGTGCAGTATGGCATGTATAGTTGGTAGACAGGTAGCAGGGGGAAGAAGATTGCTCCCTCCCTGCTCTCAGGAGCTGCCTGCTGCGGGGGCAGGCTCTGTCAATGAAGCCCAGGCCTGGACAGCGTCCCCCTGCCCCAGCAGCAAGGAGCTTCCAGTCCCAGCTCTGCAATTGCTCCCCTTTCCAAGCTCCCCGCTCCCTGCTGCCAGGGCAGGTGGACACTGTCGCTACCTGGGCTCTGCTACCTGAGCCTGCCCTGGCAGCAGACAGCTCCCAGGGACAGGGAGCAATCTCTCAGCCCCCACCAGGAGACAACTGTCTCCTGGCCCTGTGCTCCCCTGCCAGCCCCTGGGCTAGCACCCAAGGGGAGCCTAAAGCTCTCCCTGGCTACTGCAGGGTGCCAGTGCAGGGCCAGGAGCAGGCTGCTGCCAGGAGCAGCAAATTTACTCCCAAATTGCCGCACATGCAGGCACCTGCCCAGGGTGGGTTTATCTTAGAGCAGGGGTTCCCAAAGTTTTTATGCTGTGGCCCGGCAAACTATGGCCCAGCAGTCACAGCTGACCGCAGCCAGAATTTCTGGCTGGAAGACAGGTAAGAATACCCCCACGCCCCGGGCAGTGGGGTGGCCCACACCCTGCACTGCCACAGGCCCTGCAAAAGGAGCCGCGGCCCCTCCACCCAGCTTTGGCGGGGCCACAGTTTGCCAGTCCGCAGCCATTTCTGGTCCAGCAGCCGACCATGCTGCAGACCGGCAACCAACTTGCCACAGCTCAGCACCGGGCCATGGCCCGGTGATTGAGAACCCCTGCCCTAGAGTAAACCCATCCTGCAGCATTTGCATGTGTAGACAAACCCAGTGAGCTCTAGGAGGCAAACTTTATGCAGAGCTGCTTTCAAGCCTTAGGCAACAGATGTTAAAACTGGCAGGTCAGTCAACTGATCAGTCCCTCTGCCAGAAGAATGGAGGGGATCAAGACTGAATCTAGCCTAGCCTGGGGGATACTAGCACATCCATCAGCTAAATTCCTACTGCAGGAATTACAAGAGTGGTGATTCTTAGCCAGGGTGCCATTGCACTATACTATACCTTGACAGCCTTTCAAGGGTGACACACAATGGTATAAACTGGTAGGTGTACAGACACGATTCACAAGATAAAATGTAGAGCTTTCACATAGGAATCTGTAGTGTCAAAGACATTCTGACCTATTAGGATCTTTCTGAATTCTTTGCACAAAAGAATTGTTTTGTTTTGGGTTTTTTTGCCTACAGGCAAAGAGAGTGAAAGCTGAGCTGGCATTTCCCCGAGTCTGAAAAAGTTTGAGAACCACTGTATTAGAGGGTTGGGTGGAGACCAGAGGAAACCAAATGGATTTACATACCACTGCAATCAAGACTACAATACCTCCACCCTTCTCCATTAAAACATCCCATCATATCTGTCCTGGGCCGTACTTTTTGTCTTATTATAAACAGATGTTTAAAAAAAAATAATGATGCAGAATTTCATGTTTATATGGTCACTTTGATTGTTGCCCCAAACCTGTGGTCATATCCTGCCCCAAGGCAGGGGAGTCTGTGGCATGAGAGTCCACTTAAATATCTGAGCACACAGCCAACTGGCATGCACAAGAGAAGACCACTCCTATACATGCTTCATGCAGTGACACACTTAAATTCACAACTTGTTTAATGCCAGTAACATTGCTTTACATGAAAAAGTTACAATGTTCTCTATATTTTCCATAGGATGCATTATATGTAACAATGCCACAAGTTCTTAGATTTATCTGCATAAACTCTGAGGGGAAACCCTTTGTTCAAACTGAACTGTACATTTCAGTACTTTTATGCTTCATACATTGAAAATACAAGCATACAAGATTTCTGCTTTTTTTTCCAATTTACAACGCTAATCAGCACACGCCAGACAGTCGGTCACTTCACACTAGTTGCCTACATGAAAAATCTAGACAAACTTGCACACCCACAAACACACACACGCACACCCTGGCGAGATACCTTTTGAGGGCACTTTCATGGACCCAGCCATCTACCCTCCTCGGCAGCTGCATGTGAAGTGGGACCATATGGTAGGGGAAGGGCAGGGAGGGGAATATGGGTTGTTACTTGAATGGACATAAAGAAGCCAGTCACTGGAACAGTTCCCTTTACATTTTGCCATCATCCTTTTTTTTAAAAGGCGACACTATTTTACAGTTGCAGTACTATAAGCAGAAGTAAAATAACTTCCCTCCTCCTCTCTTAGCCCCACCATTCATTCCCTTGGCAGATATATTTAAATGCTTGCCAGAGATTGCCAATTCACTCTACCATAAGTCAGATATGGATTGGGGGCAACAATCCTTCCCTGCTGCGCTGATCAAATAAGGAAGTGAAAAAGTAATGGTCCTATCTAAGAGCAGGTCTGGATTTGCTTTCTAAGCAAACAGAGGGATGGCAATGCAGTTGCCAAACCTGTGTGACTAAGTGAGGGGAATATTATTGAGAGAAAAAGAGAATGACTAAGGAGATACCCCCTCCCTGCTGGACTCTGGGAATGCAATTCTACGCTGGAGCTGCAGTAGGAAACAAGGAAGCTCCCACACACATCCCTATAGCAGTTGGACACATCAGACCACAGCACTTCTCGTCTAAAGCTTGACCACTTCTTCAGGCAAACGTCTCAGCAGAAGTGGCTTTAAGGTGTATATATGGAAAAGCTTGGCTAATGTCCTCTGAGTCTGCTCTGCTCTATAAAAAGGCAAGGAGAAGTGAGGATGAACTGTTAATAGTGCCTGCTTGAGGCCAGTGCAGTCACTCACTCCTAAAAAGGGCAGACTAGGAACACTGCACATCCCAAGTTTCACCTTTCCCACCCCACAATAGTCTCTGCAGGTATGCATGGCTTTCTGCCATTCCTTTCTATAAACCCCTCAGAGCTCTCTCATTAAATAGATGTGTGCATTTTCCAAATAGAAATCAAAGCAACTTGTCCCCTCAGGTGTTACACACACCTACCTCAGGGACAGCTTCAAAATTCCCCTTCCTTTGCAGATCTCTCTCGCTCTAAAAGGAAGTGTCTCGTGATGGTTTAGAGACTGGGCGTAAGAAATTAAGTGAGAGTTCTCAAAGCCTAGACTGCAGGTGTGATACTAATCCACAGAAGCAGCTCCCCCCCAAATAAACACATGCAGTACTTTCCCCTAGTCCACTCTACTCTCTTGGGGCAAC